TATACATTGCTACCTATCTAGTGGCTTTGTGTAACCAACTTCCAAGGAGATGATTCCTCAATCACTATAATTTCCCACATATCCGCAAAAGCTGATAAAATAAACAGGGATTTGGGTATACTCAGAGAATACATATCATGTATAGTAAGTAGAGTCAATAGTATTAGCAATAGGCTTGAATCTTTATTTATCAAAGTTCATTAACAGGCCTATTAAATCTACACGCATACACTCACATAAATATGTATAATTTGTATGTACACACACACACACAGATATATATATATATATATATATATATATATGTAATATTTATATATACATAAATATATGTTTCGCTGTATTATAGGTGTGGATAGACGTCCGGTTGCGTCTAGCTAGGATCGAAACCCGGCTGAATTGGCTTCAGTCGGAAAGTCTACCCCTAAGCCGTTGGCGGCAGTGATGACGGGAAATTTAAGCGTATTTATTTTTAGATAAACACAGAATGACTGAGAGAACTCGATTCGCTTTACCAAAGAGTCTTGCATATACATATGTATATACGTATACATATTTAAATTGTGTATATATATATATATATATATATATATATATAAATGGCCCTTGGGAGATTGTATTTCCAACATAAAAAAATACTATGAGTACGTTCTCACGAAGGTTAAGTTTTCATTTGAATGATGATAACATCTCTCAATATTTACATCAGAATTCGTGTCCACATTCGCAATTTAGGAAATTTCTTTTTGTAAAACATATATACTTCGTTATGAAAATAAAAATATACATTAAAATTTGATGAAGATGTTTATATTAAAAAAATTGAAGCAGGCCTTAATAAAATTATGAATACTGCACGAATGCTTTAAAATGTTTACAGGAGAGAGTTTAAAATATTTAGGTTTTAACTAATAGTTCTAAATATTTTCTTTGAGAAATATTTAGGCATTTCAATAAGTCAATTACCTCCCTTGATGTTAATATGTGTGTCTACATTATAAAATTTAAAAATGGTATTGTAAATAACGTTAGATTTTTCACTTCAGAGGGAAAAATTAATTTCCAGGTAAACACACCAATTTTATCTTAGAAAATTGATAAACACAACAATTATTATGCTAATGTCGAAAGTACTCCGAATAAAATGAATATGCATAAACTTGGTAATTTTTATTTTTCCTTTAATATGGAAACTATATATATATAGAGAGAGAGAGACAGAGAGACAGAGAGACAGAGACAGAGACTGATAGAGACAGAGACAGAGGCAGGCAGACAGAAAGCAAGCCAGACAGACAGAGACAGATGGATGGAGGGACCGATGGATGGTTTGTTGTGTAATGTATAGTGGAACGGAATTATAAATTGGAGGGCGAGTTCAGAAAAGCCTGTGCTAATATCCTTCGTTGTCATCGATACTAAGAAAAGGAAAACTCTGAATTCAAATCCTTGTGATACACCAGTTCTCTGTATTCGATTCTTCCGAAAAGTGTGGTCGATTATCCGAAAGATTTCAGTAATATAATGAAAGTATATGTGTCGTACTGTTTGGGTGATCAGTTCCATGGACTGACCTACAGGAAACCGGAAACGATGGGAGAATCAATTATTACACACACAAACACGCACACACTAATCACAGATAGACGTTCACAGAGACAGACACACACAGACAGGAACACACACACACATAAATATGTCTCTGTGTGTGTGTGTGTCGTCCATTTCTTTGAGAAACATTTTCCTAAAAGTAACTCTCTTAGTAAAATATTTAACAGAAACACATTAAAACTAAGTTATATCTGCACCAATAATGTTGAGAAGATTATAAAGTTACATAACAATAAAATTTAAAGCAATTTAATAATCTGAATCATAATACACGTTCCAAGATAAATATTATTAATGATATTGGCCAATGTAATTGTAGGAATTTTTACCAATGCATATTGCTAAACAAATGTGTAAGTAAATCTCTGGTTTATCTTAGTACTATCTCTGGAATAGAGAAATTGTCGGCTGAAAGATTCTATATTAATAGTTCTATGAATTCTTTTAAGGCAAGTTTGTATCACAATATCTTATCCTTTACCAATAGTACATAAAAATAATACATCACTTTCTAAATATTTTTTAAATTTAAATGACGATGATTAAACTTCTAAGATGAAATGGAATTTTTAAAAAATAGCAAGCAAATGTAGATCTTTATATGAACCCTGTTTTCTATGTTTACATGAAAAACTCGAAATCATTAGATTTTTTGACAAAATTCATTATGAAATCAAAGAAGTGCATTAACTGTAAATTGTAAGAATTGTTTACATTTTACCTTACAATTAAACTTTTTAATTTGCACTATATATGGCTTATCTTTCTATTTGTAAGATTTAACAGTCAGGATGAATACTTTTTCCTTCAGTTAAAATGAAAAAAATGCATTAATTTCTGTTAGAATGAGAATTAAGTTTATTACTATTTTTCAATAAAATGTATCTTTACACATAAAATGTATCAAAATGTGTTTAAGTTAAGGCTTTTGCATTTATAAAAATACAATTTTTCATGTGTACGAATATTTATTTCCCTCCCAATGTGTATATGTGTCTAAATGTGAACATAGAAGTCAACAGGCGACAGTCTGTTTCATGCTAGATGCAATCGTCTGTAAGTGTTATATATATATATATATATATATATATATATACACACACACACACACACACACACACACACACACACACACACATATATATATATATATATATATATACACAGACAAACACACACACACGCACATACATACACACACACACTAACATATATATATATATATATATATATATATATATATATATATATATATATGTGTATATATATGTATCAAATTTGACGTAAAGAATGAATATAAGAAGTAATATTTATTATATTGTAAGTATTTTTCGTTTAATCCAAGTACAATCTTTTTTCTGTGTAAAAATTGAAGGGATGTGTGCAAAATTGCGATGGGCTACCCACATTCAAATTGTATATGTCTTTGAAAAAAAATAAAAAATTAAATAAAAATTATGAGAGGGCAGACATGAGTTACAGGCAACATTAGTCATTTGTTTTACGAATTTAAGTGTATTTTATTTCTTTTTTAGGGACAATTAGATTTGGTTTGGTTTGTTTTGTTTTACGGTACATCAACCTCAATGTGTCATTCAATACCGACAACTTTTTTTTCCTGGTAATATTTTTGTTTTGTTAATAATCCATTTCCGTTAATATTTTTTTCTCAAAAACGTATAGCTGGTAATATTATTTTTTCAAGAACGTGTAGCTGGCAACATTATTTTTTCAAAAACGTATTATCAGAAGCCTTGCTGTTGGACGTAGTTTATCGTCTTACCCACGACGCGCATGTAGTTTATCGTCATACCTCGGACGCGCATGTAATCTGAGTGTTAACTATTTGCCCATAGCTGGGACCCCAACAGGTGCCACCAGGCCGAGTCAGGGTGGACCTGGGAACACTAGCAACTAAGAGGTGGTTCCACACTACTCAAAACCTCCTGATCAGATGCCTTTCTGTTGGACGTAGTTCCTCGTCTTACCCAGGACGCGGATGTAGTTTATCGTCTTACCCAGGACGCGGATGTAGTTTATCCTCATACCCAGGACGGTAGGGCCAATTGGGAAGAAATGAATAAATATATGTACGTTTGTGAGAAACAGTGAAATGTTGTGATATCTTTTCTTTTCTTTTCTAAAACAAATAAAACCTGGATTTGGGCAGGTGGGGCATTGTGTGTGCGTGTTTTTATTAGTAATGGAGGATACAAGCGGTACTTAGAATTTAGTTCTGATTGTGAAATGTGTCGCCCTTGTTCGGGGTGGTATCTTTGTAGTTTTCCGTACGGTAGCTTTTTGCCTGTTGACGTGAATGGGTTCTTGACTTCTATGTATCAACTTTTGAATACTGTTCCTCAATCAATTGTTACAAACAAAAAATTATATATATATATATATATATATATATATATATATATATATATATATATATATGGTAGTATTGATGTGAATTTGTGACCCTGAGTTTCACGCTTTTGCGATCGTCAGACAAACTGAATAATTTTTTAAAAAATTTGGATTTATGTAGATTGCGTGTATTGGTGTTATTATGGAAGTTGGGTGGGGAATCGTCGTCGTGATGTCACTCATGCTAACGCAGACATAGATGCATGTCCGTACACCCGATGAGGTACGCAGACACACATACACACTGACTCGTCCGCGGGGGCTAGCGCGAATTTGTAATTAGTGACGGCAAAGCTCTTCTATGAATCGAGCACTCTGAGTCGCTGGCGTGTTTATTCAAAAATAAATACGTAAAAATTCACACTCCTCTCTGCCAGGAGCTGATAGCTTAGTGGAAAAATTTCCACTGATGCCAAATCAACCGGGTTTTGATCCTGGCTTGAGTCAAATTGATGTCTAGCGACACTGATGAGTGAAACTGTCTGTGGCT